GAACTTTCCCTTATTTATCTAGTGAAAAATAAAAAAGCTGAGAATGTGTTCAGTTACTGACCGTTCTGGGAGTTTTCTAAGTCCATCCTACCCCACCGAAAATTTTCTCTGAATATTACAGAAATACAGTACTTTTAATATGTTGATACTATGAGCCGCCATTTTATAATTAGACTGCGTGCAAACGGACGCAACAACTCCTAACAACTGCCAACAATGTTGGGACCTGCAGTGCATCGTGGGAAGGATACAACCCATAAGTCTTTGTAAACCATGCGTAATGAGCGCGCGTGGCCCCAACAATGTTGGAAGGGCTGTGCAAACGGATCCAACATTGTTGCGCTACGCTTCGGCGATCACGGAACAAAAGAAATGTTGGGAGTTGTTGACTGAAAAGTTTGACCGGTTTCAAACTTTGCGCAACAACACGCAACAACATCCAACAACATGCAACAGGGTGTGCAAACTGACGCAACAAGTAACATCCAACAATGCCTTGCGTCCGTTTGCACGGGGCTTTATGTATTAGGCTTCTGTACATAAGGCTTTCATTTCTTCACTAAAATGCTCCATTTTTTCCACACTAAAAATGCTCGGTCTCCCTCGAAAAAGTCACTAAAATGCACGATACAATACTCATCATGCAGAGGGGCTTTTTTAAAATTAATTTTAGTGGTATAACAATAAACGCTTAATAACTGGTCCCTTGTTTCTCGAGAATCTCAATGTTTCACGGGTTTTCTCCCTGGGACGGAGCTGCATCCCCATGTAAAGTATTTCTTGAGTCACGGCTCCCCTGCTTCCCCGGGTATCCCACAAACACTAAGAGACTGATTATTTAATGCGCCTCTTGACCAACACTTTGGCCAGAAGGTTACGCCAATCCCATGCCTCCACAACATAACTTTCAGTATTATTTTACTTCCTTTTTTCTGTTTCCTTTCTGCAGCTGAACTATGCCGACATCTCCATCTTTGACTTCTTGAATAACATTCTTTTGGGAGGTAAAACAGATGTCCCCAAGGAACTGGACAAGTTCCCGCTGTTGGCAGGGCACTATACCCGTGTGTTAAACGTGCCCGAAATAAAAGCGTGGATAGAGAAACGCCCACAAACGACTGGTTGAAGACTGGTGTACTTAGAACGCGTTTGACGTGTACGCGAATGAAGCTTTTTCTTTGTGTTTTCGTAGTACTTTATGTCGCTCATATTATTCTAAAAATAAAAGGGGGAGCAAAAACGAATATCGCCGCAAAATGATTTGAATAGCGATGATGCGCGTTTTACCACCCACGTTCCAACCTGTCTTGCAACAAATAAGGTTGTTGCGGGTTGCGAAAAGTTGTTGCAGAAAGTAGAGAAGTTCTAATTTTTACAGAAAAATTTGCGCATGTTGCGCGTTTTACTTTGCCCAAGGCAAACTTGTTTTGTAGCGAGTGACTTATCTCCCCGTGCATGGCGTGACTCCCGCGTAATTTTATCCAATCAGAAGTCAATATTCACGCAACTTATAACAACCTGATTGGTTGCAAGACAGGTTTGAACATGTTGAACGTTTTAATTGTTATCCGTTTTGCCGTAGCTTTAGCCTACGAAAGGCTGCAAGCAGTGTGTGTGTACAGCCCCCGTTTTTTTCTCTCGGAGGATTTTGGTCTCACTTAGGGTGTTAAGAACGGAAAGCTAATGTTCTGGGTCATAAAGGTATCCATCCCTACGGGTTGAGTGTGGAGAAGTAAATATCCATACGAAAAGGAAAATGCCGTCATACTTTGTTGAAGTTTAGTCTCCTTTAGGATCAAATAAAAACTGAGCTGCGCTAAGATTGGTCTCCGTTTATGGGGGTTTAATTGTAATTTCCTGACGAGCATACCAGTCACTTTTATAGTATGGGAGTCGCCCCCCGTCACCAACAACATTTAATGATTCTCCAATTCAATTTTATGTCTATGTAGAGCTTTGAATAAATAATCAATACTTATTTCATATAATAATTCTTAAATAAAATAAATTCCGTGTATTTTTTGTTATATGATAAATGCATGAACGAATATCTCTTAATAAATCTCCTCTTGAATAGTTTCCATTCCTGTAAGCTAATGATTTCGAAAGCTTTCCATCTGACCTCGTTTCGTTAATTAGAAAATTGCTACTGTACCGAACAAATAATGTACGTAATTGAAATCGAATTCAAAGTAAGTTTTCCATATCGTTTGCAACTGTGGTATTTTATCACTACATATAATTTTTTTTCTCAAAAGCTCTCTGTTTGATTATTACACCCTAGGATTTCATCCAAATACTCAAAGATGGAAACAGTAATTTTCACTTAAACGGCAAAACTTTAAGATTACATACGCAGACTCAAAAATAAAACGCACTCAAGTTTAGATCTAAACTATAAATATTGTGCCAAAAGATAATAAAATAAAGTGAACTGTAAAAATATCAGTAGAAACTTCATTAAAAACAAACCAACAAACTTTCAAACAAACGATTCGGTGGTTTTGTTGAGCCACTTAACTCTGTGATAAAACATATTATTTAAGACTAGCTTTAAAAAAACCACAAGCAATCTACCAATAGACCTTTTAGCTTGTATGTTTTGCTTTCCCAACTTCAGACCACGTCATGTTCTCCAGGGAATTGGCCTTTGTCTCTTCCTAAATTATGCATACATATGCACGTGCACGCATGGCCTTATGGGCCACCTGGCGCGACGAAACTTAAATATGATGATGATGATGATGATTGACGTGCACGCACATGCATAGAACGACATTTGAAAGAACAGTTCTCTGAGGTACCATAACGTAGTCCGAAAATGGAAAACAAAAAACATACAAGGTAAAAAGGTCTATTGGTCATGAACGAAATGAACTTAAATAAATCAACGTAGCGTTTTGAATAAAATACATATTCATGTAAATTCTGATCTAGTTACAATAATTTTTCTACACTGCTCAACATTTTTGAGCGATAATTATGACGATGAAAATGAAGTTCCAGGATTTGATTGCCGGTTGGGTGTGGTCGCCCCTACGTTATACCTGGAACAAAATTTTCATCACGATGTAGTAGTATAACAAAGTATATGTTCCTGCAATACTAAAATAATTCAAAAATTAACAGGTAATGTTTTCAGGCTAATAGTACTATAAACACGCTACAGTGTATTTTCTCACTTGGGGCCCTTCCATTAGATACCCACTTGCTTACTTCGACCTCGACGTTCCACTAACATACTGCGAAAATGCCGGTATGGAGCTTAAGCAACTAAGACCTCGACGGCAGCAAAAACGTCACTTAAAAAGAGAATCCTTGTTGCTTTAAACAAAGCTGTTACTTTGCTGGTCTAAAATTATTGTATTTTTTGCCATTCTCGTTGCCGTCGCCGTTGCTTAAGCTCTGTAGAGTGTCCAGACGAGAACATTGGTTAGTGTGGTTAGCAGCCCGGACTCATATGAAGAGGGCCTAAGAAGACAACCGCTGAAGTGATAAGAATGATAATCATCTCTTAATTGGTTATTAATGTTACTTTTGAGTAGTAATGCGCCTGAAGAACTGCAAGGTGTCCTGAATTTCTGGCACGAATTCAGAGAATAAAAGCTCCAGCAGAGTGTAAAATAGGATCCTGTGGAGACATAAAACAGTTTCATCATAATCATGGAGTTAATTCTAACGAGAGTGGGAGAATTCTTTAAGTTGTGGTGCACGCGCAAGTCACAGGGGGCAGGGAAGGGGGAGGGCGGGGCAGAACCCCTCCACCACTTCGTCCTATCTCCTTATTCGCATCATACAGGCGAATCTTTGTTTACATTCTTTACGCCTGGCATACCCTCATCGTGTCCCGACCAATCTATTTAAATTAACATCCCTGGATATTGAAAGAGCATAGCGATATTAGTACACTCTGAAAAATGTAAGCCCGATAAGCCCAGTAGTTTCGGAGATATCCTCTATCAAAAACTTGAAATTTTGCAAGGAATGTATGTCTATCGGCGATTTAAGTCTTTACCAGCCAGTATTTTCGCAGTTTTCGGTAGCTGCAATCTCTGTAGATTGTTATCTCTCCCATTCTTCCTCTGATCTCAATCAAAGATGGCGAGTGCAGAGAATACTGAACGCCCCTCTCCCCCCCTCCCCCCCCCCCACGCCCTGTCAACCGAAAAGTCTGCACCACAGGCTTATATCTAATTTAATTTCAAGGGTCATAACATATTGAGGGGCCGAGGGCGGGGAGGGGTCGAAGGTGGCGAGGGGGTGGAGAAAAATGAGCCGAGGGCTCTCGTTTTCTCCCCATTTCCGCCTTCGGCGAGCATGCTCACAGGCTATTCTTTATACTTACTTGTTTAACTGTGGATATTGAAGCGAGTCAATAACGTTCACGGCAGTCTGGTGGTAAATTCTTGGACCAATCAACAGCCTGAAAAAACCTACAAAAGAACAAATAGAGTACAGATACAGAGAAACTTCATAATCCAAAGAGCATTTGATGGCATAATGTGTAACATAGATAACTGTTATATTATTCATTCAAAATGTTTCTAAGTTCTTAACAAGCTAACCTCCTCGAAGATTTTTTCCAAAACTTTGGCCCATTCCTCGGCACCGTTTCAAGATACAAAAACATGTTTTTCTTCCTGCAGATACTCCTCAAAAAGCAGATAAGATCTATCGAGCAAGATGTTTTGCGTATTCTTGCATTTCTTCTAATTCGTCTTCGGATAGCCGTGAACGCCATTTCTTACTTCACTCATTGCCCAAGCAGTCTCGTTTTCAAGCGAATATACCATCGATCAACCTCGTTTCCAAGCAAATATACCATCGAATCGATGGTATACTGCTGGCAAGTTCCACTGCACCACGGTACCTTACTCCTTTAAACCAGGTTTAAATCTTAAGTCTTGAGAAGGTGTCCCCACGTTTCGTCTACTCAATACTGGATAGCTTTTCGTGCAGACATGAAAAGCTAGCCCGTACAGAATGAACGGAAATAGCTC